AGAATACATCTTTTAACCAAATTGTGACAATAAAGGGCTGCACACTGCAGCTCCGTCTGGAGGCTGTTAGACCAGACTTGATGGTGGAAAGAGGGACAGTTATGTGTTTTTTTTACAGTGGTACATAGATAATCTGGAGGCTTGAAGATTGTTGAGTCTCATTCCCAGCAACAACATTTGACGACCTGGTCATGAGATGCAACAATCAACAGTCTGTCATTCAGCTCTTGAAAATTAGACTTGCATAAATGAATATGTTGTTAAAAACTGGCCAAAATCCCATGCAATTGCTTTTTGTACAACGATATTAAAATGCATCTTAGCATTTTTTTGCCATATAGCTAACTATAAGTTGTTAACTGTAAATTAACAAGATATGCACTCATGGCCACTTCTTTTTTTTAGATTCTGGTTACTACATGAAGTTTGACACATCTTCCGGCGCAGTTGGAAGCAGCGCCTTGCTGGAGTCACGTATCCTCTACCCCAAGAGGGAAGAGCAGTGCCTGCAGTTCTTCTACAAGATGACCGGAGCAGCTGGGGACCAACTGGTGATATGGATCAGGACTGATGACGGGACGGGGACTGTGAGCAGTGCCAGGAAGATACACACCATTATAGGTATTTTATTCATTTTTTAAAATGTAAAACTATTTAGAGTTTACTGCATGATTGTTAAATTAATTACAAACACCCATTTTAATACTATCTTTTCATGAATTCCAATAAATTCACAATATTCAGTAAATCCTCTGCTTTTTGGTGCGGTCAGGTGATGGAGATGCTGCCTGGAAAATAGCCCATGTGACTCTCAAGGTGACAGAGAAGTTCCGCTATTTCTTCCAAGGCATCAGAGGATCATCCACCTCCTCAGGCACTATCTTAATCGATGACATCACTCTTTCTGAAACCGTTTGCCCCAGTGCAGTCTGGCAAATCCACAACTTCACCGGCATGCTCGCCACCACTGTCGCTGGCAGTTCGGTTAAAAGCAAGTGCTTCTACAATTCGGAGGGCTACTCATTCGGTATCAGTGTTTATCCAAATGGAAGAGACACTGCCTACCCAGACTATGTTGGCCTGACCATGCACCTCTGCAGTGGAGAAAATGATGCAGTGATGCAGTGGCCTGCCAAAAATAGGCAAGCCACCATTGCTGCCATGGACCAGGACCCTGATGTAAAACTGAGGATGTCTTCTACAAGAAGCTTCACCACAGGTAGGCCCAGGTCACTGGCCTATAGGAAAAAGGGTACTTTTACTTGTCAGATGGAAGGGTTGGTTTAGCAAAATCACAGCTGGTAGTATATAACCATGCAGATAGCTAAGGTTTTATTTGCCCGAGTTTTGAGATTTTCAGCTTCATAATAGAATTGTATTTGTCACATCACTGAAAAATATTTTTTTTGTTCAACATTTCTTTCCAGATAATCATGCCATATTTTAAAACACACTTTCCCTTACCATCAGTAACCACAGGTGTCGCCACATCAACCAGGACTGAAATTTTGTATTGCTACTTCAAAGTCCTCATTTCATATATAATTGACAATTAAGTCCTTAAAGCTACACTAATCAATGTCTTTATTTTAACAATGATTGTGTAATATGAAAGGTGTTGCGCAGGGTGATTGAACCCACAGAGAATTATCACCTCTCTGCAGTGGCCCTCAGCTCTACAGTGCATTTTAGCATTTAGTTTTATGCCCCACAACTGTACTGTTGTTGTTCATTTCTCTTTCTCGCTAAAAACTTAGAGACTAACTGGTGAACATACTGTGAAGCATTTAGCAGCTAAAGAGCAAAATATTTTCCTCAGTAGTTGGTGGACACCAACACAGGGCTCGTAACTGTCATTATTTTAATGTTGTTGTTTTATTTATATCAAACCATCATTACTTAAACCTATTATGACAAATTTTTGGCCACCCTGGGTAAAGAAAAAAATAGCTTAGCAGACAGTTGACAATTAAAGCTGGCTTATCGGTGCTTTGCTATGTTCCATATGAATGACTCATTTCACATACACTTGGTCTTATAATAATAGTAGTAATAATAATAATAATAATAATAATAATAATAACAACACATGTATTTTTATATAGTGCCTTAAGAGGTACTCAAAGGCACTTTACATAGTAACTATTTGATCCATTGTTAAAGCTAGGGTAGGTAATGTATTTCAGAAGCAGTTTTTTGTAGCGGTGTGCAGTAGAGACAGTGGTGGAGGAACGTGTTTGAACATCCCCAAGTCCCAAAATTTTAAATGGAATACCTAACTAACAAGAAATGTTGGTGCTAGCCCTAATTTTTGGCTGGATACTTTCAACATCTAAGTGTCTGTTGCTTGTTTGTCCAACATTACCTACTTTAGCTTTAATATAAAAATATCAATTATAGCAGTTTTAAACATCTCATACTGCAATTTCTTAACCAACAAAACCATCACCTTTCTTGTTTCTTTTGACCAGACCTGTTCATTCTATCTTTGCCTAATGCCACATTGAGAATTGCTTTTTTATCGACTATTTCCCAGACACTCGTCACTTCTGGAACAAACCAACAGCTACTTCAGGAGCAGTGTTTGATGCCAGCTGCCAGTGCTACCGCGGTCTAGACTTTGGCTGGAGCACGTTCATTTCTCACAAGCATCTGCACAGGAGGAGCTTCCTCAAGAACAATGACCTTATCATTACTGCTGACTTCAGTGGTGAGGATCAGAGATAGCAGCACTTCTACATGGCAGTTCTAGACTATTCCTACATCAGACTTTTTGCTGATACACATAGTTGCCAAACAACAATATTCTAAATTCTTTAAAAACTTTTTGACAAATTTTACCAGCAAGAACCTATTCAGTTCATAAAATGAACTTCATTTTCCCTTTTCTGCCCTGCTACTTTGAATAATGGCTCACTGTTCTCTTGATTCATTAGATTTGACCCACCTGATCAAGACTGAGGTACCTGTCAAGCCGGCCCCACCAAGCCATGACATCACTGATGAGAAGCCAATCATTGCGGTGGAAATGAGACAGGAGGCACCGAAACACAGAGAAGCACGTGCTGCCAACCCCTGTCATCCCAACGCCTGTTTTAATGGAGGCGTGTGTGTGGAGAGTGAAGGGAAGGCCTCATGCAGGTGTGTCTTTGACCTAGTGTTTGAGTCCCTCATCTTTTGAATTGTGGGATTTTTTTAAGACCTGAGGGATTTTTGGGTCAGTCCTCACTTCCAGAAGATATGAATTTACATTCAGTGTCAGTTAGGCACAGGCTAATGCTCGAGTAAGCACTTGCCTCAGTAAGTACACCAGGCTTGCACCCATAAGTATTTAAGGAGTCAAGTGTGAAGATTGATACCACTCTCATGTCTGTGTAAGTATGGCACTAGTTAGGTTAGCATAAAGACTAGAATCAAGGGGAACAGCTAGCCTGGCTCTCTCCTGTTGAATGTTCAAAAACACGCTGCGTCACATGCCAACTTGTCGTCCCTGTGAAGTTGCTGCACAGAAGTGCCAAGTGGACATATAAACTGTTGTGCTAGTTACAGCATGTATCCCCCTAAAAACCCCAATTACTATAAAGAATAATGGTGAGCTTCATAGGTGCTGTGTCCCCCTGCTTTCTGTGTTTATACTATGCTATGCTAAGCTAAATGCTTACCTGCTTTAGTTTTATACTTAATGCAGAGACATGAGAGTGGTATTCATTTTTTCATCCAACCTTATGTGTCAAATTATTCCTTTTGTAAATCTCTCCAGGCAAGCTTTTGTGTGAACCAACCTAGGTTATCCCCAACAAAAACACAGCACAGTCTTCAGTGGTTTCTCTGCTGCTGTAACAGAGTAAGGTTTACTATCTTTCCTCTACAACAAAAGCCTATTTATTTTAATTTAATAGTGGCGTTTGGTATGTACAAATCTCTGCCCACTCCTTAAACAGCCTAGCTGTGTAGTTGCAGCTTGCAACATCCTCGCTTCACCCTCCTGCCGTATCTAGAGCTAGTCTTTGGTTTGTCTGTTCAGGGCCACTGTAGAATGGTGTTTCCTTTGTAGATATAAACAGCTCATTCTAAGGTAACAACAATATTTCTTATTTTCAGGTGATTATACACTAATGATAACACAATTATTAATATTATATTCCACTTCTGACAATAGATAGAATAATTTACACGCATGCATATACACACGTGTATTCATGTGGTCACTACAGCTCAAAGCAATTACTCATGCTTCAGGAAATATTTTTTCATAATAACGACAATTCTGTTGCTTTCTTTTCAGGTGTGCATCAAGCCAGACCACCTACTACACTGGTAAAAGGTGTGAGGAACTAAACATAAACAGAAGCATTCTGGGAGCTCTGGTTGGTGGCACAGCGGGGACCGTAGTTCTAACGCTGGCCATTTTCACTGTCATCAGGAGAGCTCAGTGAAACACATTTCAGAGGAATAATGGGTCCTCTGCCTTCATTCAGCAGTGAAATACACAGCAAAATAGTTCCCATACTGGACAGAAGTATTTGTATTAAGCTCATTTTGCACCAAGTGCACCAACTGCACCTAGTGCATCCTGTGCCTATCTCTATGTATTTCTGATGTGTCCTCACATGAATTTTTTTTTTTACAGTTTTCTCCTTAGACTGAGCCTAGAGATAAGACTGTAAGCTGTACCCCCAAGGTACAAATGAATGCAGGTTTCACTTTTAAAATAATTACTTTCATCATGATGCACCAGAAGTATTAAATTGAAAACTATACTCAAGCCTGCACTGGCAGGAAAATAAAACTATAGCTAAAACTAAAATAAGCCCAAACATCAAGTTTTATTCTGCCAAATTAACATTTTGCAGGAGGATAGCATCAGTTGTTTCATGTGACCCAAGTTTGGTTTCTTTGTATGTTAAAATGAATCATATTTAGCTTGCTAAAGGAATTCTGTTAAAATGAAAAATGTATAGTTTGGATTGAAATCATGCGCAGTGTAAGGAACAATAAAAAACATTTGATGCCTTGTTTTTATTTCATTACTTATTATTCCATATACATATAATTTAGATACATATAGTGGTTTGACACACAGTATACAGGTTATAGTTCATGTCACTTTCCTTTTAAACAAAACTATCAAACCAATCCAAACATGTCTATTTTGTTCTATATAGAGTCAGCACTCACAGTCTGGACTTACAGAATACACAACATCCAATTTAGTGGTACAGACAGAGGAGAAAATGTATGCATTAACCATATCAACATAATCCTCCCTGCCAGGAGGATTTCATTTAATGTGAAATCTCTGTTAGCCTTAGCTGAGGATGACAACAACCTACTAGCTCACAACTACTAATGATAAAGGTCAGTTCTGTCAAATTCATAAATATGATGAAAACCTCAGTGTTCTATTTACTAAGCTTTACTTAACAATTAGCCTGGTTTTAGGATACCCATGTACACATTTGTTACCATCTAGGAACTATAATCTAACACAAAGCAAACTCTAAGATGTGTTCTCTCATAGGCTACAAGTGGAGTGCCATAAATGTGAGTTGCTGTTTCCGTCTTCATAATCTGAAAGGTAGAGATGATAGATGAAGTATTTCGAACATTTATAGACTGAAATAATACTTTCTGCTTACATGTGGTCGGAATCTTGCATCATGAAATAAAATAACAGATAAATAAAATGATAATATAACCAAGGATTTTTAGTCATACAAGCAGCATGGCATAGCTCTTGTGACAGCAATGTCGATCATTCACTTGGGTCCAGGGAGAAATATATCTAACTATTGGATGAATGGCTATAAATATTGGTATAGACATTCATGGTTCACAGAAGTATCCTAATGACTTTTGTGACCTCACTTCTCTTCTAGCATCATCACAAGGTTTGCAGTTGTGGTTTTGAGAGAATTTTAAGAATAAGGCTGACCTCAGTCCTCATTTGTCTTTAGTGTACGTGGTTGAAGTCAAATTTTTCATGCTCTCACTTTTTCCTTTTGATTTTGCCTGAGGGTAGAAGCAGACAAGCTTACGATGCATGTTTCTGTCATTTTTTGGTGTAATTCCCGGATTTACCATCTTGGTAAACTTACCATTATGAGCTTTAACAGTTCCTCTCGTACCTGTTAAAAACACAAACATTGCTTTATAAATTGGGCAGATGGTAAATACTAAACAACATAATTATTGAACATTTTTGGCCTCTAGTGCATTTTTTCCTGGGCCCCCAACAAAATGCCTTCCATGGCACAAGTAGAAATTCCAACAATAAGGCATTAATGCAGTGTTTTAGACTTAGTGTAAATTCTCTGTTAAGAAATACCCTGCTTATGATAACTAGACATTTGAGAGATTTTTAACAAACCAATGAACATATCAACACTGATACAGCATGATGGATTTCTTACCATTGTTAAAATGACAAACCTACCTTCTGCTCTGCAATGCACCCTGTTATCAAAATGAAAAGGCCCTGCAAGAGAGGTAATGAAGGTGTAACTGTTTTCATGCAGATAGTTTGAATCCCATTTATATTTGAGCTGCATTAGTTGTTTGTGAATAAATGATAACATTTTGTACCAATACAGGAAGTTATATGATGTTTATACAGAGAAATAAAATCTACTGTAAGGGTGTGGAGGTCGGGTTTCAGCTGTTGGTGTCTAAATATGTGCCTTCAACAATGGTGACTCAAGTTGACAGTTTCTTAAATTATTTATTTAACCATGATCTGATTTCCCTTACTTAAAGTGTTAGTTGCCTAACCATACCATTCACTTATCCATACATGGTGAGTATGTACATGGGTATTGTTTGATTAGCCATTTAAAATTTTGTTGTTGGCAGTGGACTATAAAAATGTTGAGCAGCCAGCTTTTTTAATTAAATATAATTTGGCCTATTGTACGTTTGGCCAAAACGTACAATAGGCCTACCAGCCTGATGCACTGATCCAATACACACATACTGACTTTAATGAGATGCTTAGCAATCTGCTACAGAGGTCTGGTAAGCTCACTTCTTTCTAACTCCACACCCCCAGAGTTGTTTTATTTTCAATCTCATTTTCAAACAGAGTTACTTCATAATTACCTGGAAGGAATTGAGGATGGTGAAACTGTAGTTAGCAACAACAAACATGGGATCGCGGTGGTCCAAAATGAGCAGAAAGAAGCCAATAATCCATGTTACTCCAAAGACTGGCGTTAGAAAAACCACTACTTTAAGGATGCCTTTGGCTGTCTCTTTGTCATCTGACTTTCCCCCATCAGTGGCAGAGGACTTCACCAGAGTAAGAATGACGACCACCATGGAAAAGAGATTTGTCAAAATAACAGTTCCCACAGGGAGGAGAAAAGCATGTATGGAGCCCTCCAAAAGTCTATCAAAAACAAGCCAGCATGTTTTTGGATCATAGTAGTTCTTGTCCGTGTATTTGCAATACACAAAGCTAGAACCTACTATTAGGATTGGGCAAACATAGCCTACAATGCTGGAGAGGAACATGAAGACTCTTTTTCTCAGTGGGCTGAAGACAAAGATGAGCTGGTGGACGAGCATGACACTCATGCACAGCATCCAGCTGAACATGGCTAAGAAAAACAGGTGTTTACATATGGTCAAAACTAGGCACAATGTGCTGCTGAGATCTTCAGGTGAAGTGGAAGCCAAGAAACTGCAGTCAGCGAGCAAGAGGAACATGGCAATGTTCACCATGGCTGTGTGACGGAAATGTGAAAGGTTGGACTTGACCACAGCTGACCACACTAGAGACTCAATGATGAGGAAGATCAGCAAGGAGCAGATGGACACACCCAGGCCTACACTGGTAATGATATCTAGGCTTTCAGTAGATATATCACCTTTGGCCATGAGGACAGAGAATGAAGTCAGGTGGTTGCACTCGCAGACTGTGTGGTTATCATCACTAGTTTTTACACTGCATCCTGCTTTTGACCAGTTCATTTCTGTGGTGTTCCAGAAGACACAGAAAGCTTCACTGGAATTCAGCTGCTCCCTGGGGAACTTCAGCGTAATATTTAACATTGAATCATTGTTGCTCTCTAGTATGGCTGATAGTACAAGGCTGGTAGGTGCCGTTTTGGGGAAGATGTTTCTTAATTTATGCATTAGATTTTTCACAGCAAAAGTTTTCAGTATTCCACTGGTCTTGTTCAGATTCACGTTGATGTCAAACACAGTCACATTGCAGTCGGTACTTGAACAGATGTCGAGCTTTAAGTTTGGTCTGTCGACTCCTTTGACTTCTCTGCTGTTGTTGACCTTGACATTCTTCACCAGACCCTCCACAGATTCAAGGTAAGTTGCTGACATGGTGTGAACAACAGTGCTGTTGACTCCAGACCAGGTCTTGTTCAACATATTGCTTGCTGCTTCAACAAAATCCTGAAACAGAAGAATTAAAAAAATAAGTGCTAAGGCATATTTTATCTAGGATGGATTCAAGGTATTGAGTGATTTGTGGAAAGTGCAAACTCATTGGGTCCAACTAGCAACCTGGATGGCTAATGAAGTCATTACAACTAAAACACAGTTCCATGAATGGCCACTTGAGGCTGGCTCCAGACATGAGTCAATCTCTATACGGCCCCATATTAACATGCATGTTGACACCCTGGTACAAAAATTGGTTTGGTCTCTATAGCTAATTTCACCGTTCATGACAAATGTACAGGGGGTGCGTTTTATATAACTTGAGCATTTTGATTATATATAAGACTTAAAGTTATGCTTTAATTTATTAATGGCAAAGCATGGCAGCTTTGAGTGACAGGTGGGTGCTGTCACAGGTAGCTGTTTTCGGTAACCAGGCTCATTCAACCCACCTCAGCTCAACCAACGCTTCATGTCTTTGCCCAGTTTTGGAGACAGAGACACTGTCCATTTTTTATTAAATACAGTCTAGGATTGGGACTTGAAAACTCTAGCTAGACATTCTGACAGTCCAGCTACGTAAGGGAGTCCCAGTGGGATGCATCTCATTGGATTTACACGTGTCTCAGAATGGCAGCTTAAAATCCTCTTCCCACTCATAAGTGAACTCGAATATATGAACCACATATGACCACATTATCACATTTTCCATACTGAGGTTACTTGATAACACCTAAACCATTTCCATGACATCTGAGCAAGTGATTCCGTTGAGGAAGGCCATTAGATTTGGTTAAGAGCTTCGGGGGAAAAAAGTAGCCTATGTGGAACCTTATGTTACAATTTCTTTTGCAAACTTGCTGTTTCAAGCATGAACCTTCAAGCTTAAAACTCCACATGTATTTCAGTAAAGCACTTAATAATTAAGAGGGGCTTACGGGAAAGATTTCCTGATTCAAGACAACATTTTTCGATGCACTCGCCATCACATTAAGAACGTTGATGGAAGCACTAACATCGGCCGTCTCGTCATCAGAGTCAGAATCAGAAGCTGAGCTGTTTTTAAGTCCTGAAAATATATCCATAGCAACATCCTGGGTAGCTCCGAGTCCCTGTAGGAAGTTCTAGGAAACAGAAAACAGTATCTCAGATTCAGGATGTGCAAAAGCACACACATATGCTCACACAAAATCCTAATGGAGAGATCTGAGTGGGTTTGAGATACTGAGGTTGAAAGTTCTCTGTTATTTATTAAAATAAAAGGAATCCTAAAGACTGAAAGATTCCTGACTTAGCCCTGGATACCTGAGTGGATCTTCACAGACTAATAATACAGCTCATTAACTATCAATGCAATTAAAAATAATGACTGATAATACTGAAAAATATTTCACTGCTAATTGGCTTATTTCTGTTTCTCTTCTGCTCCCAGATGTACTTTTTGCACAGACAAGCTTGGGTCACCAGTCTAAGCTCCAAATTTTGTCATTGTCATAAGTATGTCTGCTGCAGTGCACAAGTTATAAACAGGCACAAACCCAATAAGGGGTAGATTACTAAAATATTAAAATATTTTTCATAGTGGTCATTTTGACATGCAATAGTAGGGTAATCACAATGAATGCTACTTATTAAAACTTCATTACATTTAGTGTAACAGAGCCTTTCCAGTGAGCCAACATGCACAATACCCTGACTCTGAATGGAAGGGAACCTTAATTAGTATCCCTGGAAATGCCTGTGTTTGCCCTACTATTTCATGTCAAAATGGCTGCTGTGAAAAAGGTCTATTAGCTAACTAGAAACTCTAGCATGGTACCAAATGGTAAAAATGTACTATTCACCAAGTTCAAACATGATTAAAAGAAAATCCTCCCAATGTTATTGTCATCTGTATTAGTGTCATTCATAATGTGTTCAATACAACTGACAATTTTGAGGAACATTTTAATGATCTTGTAAAATAATTTAACCTCACTGACACAGTAAAGAGAGAATTGGTTGATCATCTTGTGTACAGTCAGAGCACTGACCAGTGGTCTGCAACCTTCACGTTAGAGAGCCAAGTTGGAATTACTTTAGAGAATTACTCTATTTTGTAAATTAGGGGCATAAATGCATAAAAAGTAAAAAAAAAAAAAGCTGTTTATTGACAATAAAGTCAGAGAGAACCTCATAAGTCTATGGTTACAAGCTGCAATGCACACTCACGTCTGCGGCACCTAAAACTTTGTTCAACTCTTGGTTGACGCAGTATGAGAACACTGGCTGCCAGTTTGTGCCTTTACAAGTGCGTGACTTATAGCCAACCCTGCCCAGTTGACATGTTTGGTTAATCACGGTATTTTCAGATGGGGTTTTTGGCCACTGCTCTCCATTTATCCAGTCCTCTTTGCAAAATGTTGCACCCTCTTAGAGAAAAATATAGGGAATCGTTAGTTGATGTAAGATACAATGTAGTTATAAACAAAGTAAAACATAGTGAGAATATCATATTATACCATGGACAAGGTTAAAATCAAATTAAAAGACTTTTACAATTTACAAGAATTAGTTACCATAAATTACTGGGATATCCACTCGTTCACTTTTAAACTGTTTCTTCTGGTTTTCAAAAGTCACATAAACATATTGTGGTTCTTTGGTCTTCTTGCAAGTGACTTGAACTGTGAAAGTATAGACCAGGTAATTTCCATCAGCTGTAAAGACAGATGAATATTAGTGTCAGGGTTATTTTACATGCATTTTGCAGGAATATTGTGTGAATATTGTGTATTGAATTTGCGTTGTTGCTATCAGTTAAAGTAGTGTTATATGGTGTAGCTAACAGAAAGAAGCAAAGAGGACAGATAGATTTGAGTGATTTGTCTTACGTTGGGGTTGTAGTTTTTCAGAATTTACCCCACCAAGGCTGTAATTCCAACAGACTGTAAAATTCTCTGTGCTATTTAAGACGGTGGCAGTGACAGCAACAGGAACAGGAACATTTTCAGAGTTCCCCGAACAGTCCGCAGTAAGAGGGTTGGTCTTGAGGTTGATCACATCAGGGAGGAGTGCCACACTCAGTTGCGCCTTGGCTGTGTGCCTGATTGACCCCCTAACGAATCCACACTCGTATGTGCCTGCAGGGAACATGTAGGTAAAATCACACTACAGCTGCAGCTGGGCTGTATATGACTTCTCTTAGATGACTGAGATCTGTCACCAGTTGATTTGTCTTGGAATTGAACAAACAACGTCAAACTGAAATTTGAATAATCTATCTTTTTGGGAACGCTTGCTATAAAGATGCACTGTCAACTTCTGTGGTGCGATTGTGACTGGCATTGGTAGAAGAAGTACTTAAATTATTTTTGTTCGTTCTCTTCGTTTTTCACTATAATGAGTTTTCTGAACAATTTTTTGAATACTGAATACAGATTTTTTTGTTTCTAAAACTAAAAGATTCAAGTTTTTCTAAAGAAGAAAAGCACATTTTCTGGAAAAAATTATGATAATTATTAAATATTATTAGTTTAATTCAGCATGTAGGAGTTTGAGTTTAACTTAAAACTCAAAAATTTAAGAGAGTTGCCTTGAAAGTATGAGTTTTTGCAACCTTTTTTTTTTTTTTTTTAGGTATGTAAATATAACTTCTATTTCCTATTTCATAATAATTACAAATTACACAATACAATACAAAAAAGAACACAAGTCAAAACAAACCCAGAGGATGGGATATCTTAGCGAATATGAATTTTAAATTTGGTTCGACTTTAATTTAAGTAAGAATCAGAGTAAAACATTTGTACTTGCCTGACCAGGCACCTGTCACAAGGTTGAGTGTAACTTTAACACAAGACTTGTATTTCTCTGTGGAACAGCTGTAGTCCAGAGACACTACACTGCCGGTGTTGAGCTCAAATCGCTCATTCCTCCTGCTCATGTTCCAGCCAGCAGTGTCCGTCGCCTCCTCAAATGTACATTTCAGTATTGGAGTGGACTTGTAGCACACTGTAGTCCTTGGGGCCTCTATGGTGACCATTCCTGTGTGAAGAAAGGAAACATCTATACTCAGCAACACAGTAATTATGATTAGGCTTGGAGTAGGAACTATAGCCTTTCAATGTCAGTCCAGTGGTAAATAGAGAGAAAACCAAAAATGACAATGAAAACCTTTTTTTGTTTTAAAATATTTTGGGGGCTTTTATGCCTTTGGTCGACAGGTAAAGACAGATGGAAAAGTGCTTACATAGAACATGCGCTCTACTAAGTGAGCTACCGTACCCAAACCCATATTTTTGAAAAATAGCCAGAACAATAGCTCAGAACAAAAAATACAGCGCATAGTAGTGCATTGAGAGCGTGCACTACAGAAATTATGAAACTGAGTCATCATGATCTACTGTAACTGAATAACAAAAAACCTTTACTGACCTACAGTGTCGACCTTAAATACACCTCCAAGTGTGTTTTGCAGTTTAGTCACTATGTTTTGAAGTCTAGAAGTGTCAAATCTGACACTGACTGCTGCCTCAAAGTCAGCAACGGTATCACTTAGCCTTTAAGAGTTGGAAAGGATCAGAGGTTAGTGAGAAACATAGTATCTGTTCATATTTATGATAAAAGTCATAAGAAATTTGTAGCTAGAATACTCACAACCAAGCTGCCTAACCCTAACTTCCTGATCAGACTTTGAATACATATGTTTAAGGTACCAGTGTGGAACATTTATGAAGGTCTATTGGCAGAAATGGAATATAATATTCATAGGTATCTTTTCATTAGTGTATATGATCATCAATCATTATATTTTCGTTACTTTAGAATGAGCTGTTTTCATCTACAGAGGGAACAGGTCTTCTTTTATCAAGTTCGCCATGTTTCTACAGTAGCCCAGAGTGGACAAACCAAACACTGGCTTTAGATGGAGCCTTTTTCACAAGTTTCGTGGCCAATATAGACTCTCCTTGATGCTTGGAGTGAGAGGGTGAGGTGAGAGCGTTGTACTCACAAACTACACCGCTAGATGACTCTTAATCTTGCACACTGGTGCTTTAAGTTGTTTCACTTCGCTTATTTGAGAAATTACTATTTCTGATATAATAGTGAATATAGGGAACATTATTTGCAAGCACCGGTTTCATCAAGTCCCTTGATCTGGTGTCAAATGATGGTGAATGCCAGATGTTGCTGTTTTACTGGGTCTCCAAAAAATGACAATTATATACTCCCAATAGACTATAGTCATCACTAATTGGGAGTATATAATAGCTTAACTGATTACTAACCAGACATGTACTTGAGTGATTTTTTTCTATTCAATCTTATTTTCAATCTATGGTTGTGTGCATGCGCATATGAAAAAAACACATTCTAAAAATCCCATATTGACCTGAAGTCCAAGTTCTTATTTGATAACAAAGAAATGACACAATAAATCCATAACTTTGCAAAGTACAATACCTTTGACCAGTTACATTCAGGTACTCAAAGCCATTCAGTTGTTCAAAGGCAGTTACAAGCTTAAAAAAGAGAGAGCATTAAATCAATTGACTTGTGTAATACAGTACAAACTTTTAAAATTTGTGATGAGAGCGAGATTTGTACCTCAGAAGTTTTGGTGGTATCCCAGGTTACACTGGACGCCACCAGTGTAACTGATCCATTGATTTTAACTGTGTTGATTGCAAACATTATCATTATTTTAAGTTCTTCTATCAACAAGCAAAAAAATCCCAGCAGTGTAGTATGCAGGAGCATTACAAAATGTTAGCAATTTACAAAATACAATAAATCATCAAAAGAAAAGTACAAATACTACAAAACAAGAGGGAAATGTGTTATGCAACAGGACTGTTACCTTTGACTTTGGCAACACAGAGAGGTGTGATGTGGGACACATTTTGTGTGCAAGTAGTTTCACGGCAACAGTTGAAAGTGTAGCACACACTGTTGCTCCAAATGTATCCATCAGAGCAGTTGCAACTGGATTCATCTCCAATAATCAGGCACTCTAGAAAAAGATGCACAGTTGTCAAATCCCTTCAAACGTGGTTTCAAATCAAACTATTTCTATATAACATTAAAGCTGCAGTTGGTAATTTCCATAGAAACAACTATAACATACATATTTGCTGAAACTTTAACTATATCCTGAGGGGAGAACATGAGACAGATAAACTGAAACAATCTTTTTTTTTTGTTCAGGCCCTGAACAAATACCATTAGGAGCACTAGTAGGAGCCAGAGGAAGCTGTTTTCTTCTCAGATTATCTGTTTCATCATCTGTTTTACTGTCAGGATATAGTGAAAGTTTCAGCAAATATAACAAAAAGTTTGTTTTTATAAAAGTTACCTACTGCAGCTTTAAATGTAATTGTTAAATATTCAACAATCAGAGTTACATTTTGGGAAAGAAACAGATTTATAAGAGAAAAGGAGAACTCTTAAAAACTCTGATCGGCTTTGAACTGTACAGGTTTGGTTTGATTACATTTGATAGACAGCTACCTGGCAAAATAAGCAAACCATCCCAGAATTTACAGCATATTTTGAACTGTTGCTGCAGTCATTTCTCATTAGAGCATGGAAATATGTGATATCACCTTTCTCCAACTAAGCCCCACCTGCCTCAAGCCAGTGTGAAGAGCACAGAAAATGCAGAAATGTTGAGGTCAGCATCTTTCATAGAGGACTATTGTTTTGTTGCACACTAAACCCTTAAAAAAGGGCAGGGCTATCCTTTCCCGAGTGTGTATTTGGCTCATAGGGCTGCAGATACATAAAACTTCTAAGGGCCCTGGAGAGAAGACTACAGGCTCTCCCTAACAGGAGGCAGCAGGTCTAAGTCCTGCCGAGCAAGGGAGCCGATGAAAGACTTGGACGTGCCAAATTGGATGTGATTGGATGTGAAACATTTATACCTGCTACCAGTTCACTGTTTAAGAGATTCACTGTGTAGGATATGCCACTGCTGGTCACTTGGAGTTCAGCTGCATTCAAAACTGACAAGACGGTCTTGGCTTCCAATGTGACATTACTCTCCACCATCAGCTCAGCGACGTAGACATCTGCAACAACAAGATCTATTTATGCTTTAACTTTTCATATTTTTATATTTTTACATATTTTTTTAAACTGAAAAGGGATTTAATGCATACAATCAGAAATTAGAAATCAGAAATACATTATTGATCCCCAGGGGATATTTTCGCCTTCCAGTTGCTCAAGGTGCCATACATTAAAGAAATAGACATATAGATAATAATAATAATAATATTAATAATAATACATTAAATTAAATTTATAATAATAAAAATGTTAAAAGTATGTATTAAACATTATATTACAATATATAACAACAACATATATAGAAAATAGAAAAATTAAAAAAAATAAAATATTATAAGATACAATATATAACAATATATAGATGATAGAAGTAAGACATAGGAATAAGGAATACTACATTGCATGACAGACAGAGGGCAAAAGAGTCGCTGTGTCACAGTACATTACACAGTATTTACTTTTGGAATTACATAATTAAAAAAAGTAAAAAAGTTTTTTGTAAACCCTGGATTTATGTTGCATTATCGCAGATTTTTATTTTTTTTTCCTACACAGGACACAAACAGCAGTCTCCTGGGTAAATGTCCTGTGTTTGTTTGAGCCATCCATCCATCCACCCCACCACATCCATCTCCTGACTTAGACAACAGGCACTCGTCCAGCAATGATGCTAGAGAGTTGAAACTGGAGTATTTGACTACTTGGGAATACTTGGGAGTGCTTCGGTGTGTTAACCGCTAATCTGCGTGCCGGCTTGGCAAGGGTCAGTCAGTCATAATAGCTCTCAGAGCATCACTCTTATTTCTCTCTACTGTGCTGTTTTTTCCACCTGGCATTTTGTTTACCATTGTACACCATTTTGTTTGGGTCAATAAAAAATAGGGAGGAGGGAAGGAAGGGAAACTCCTGTCTCATAGCTTCGACGAACCATTGCTCTATTGTGGGACAGTTTTTATTCCGACGGAGGATGTACAATATAATTAGATTGTGCTACAGAACTATAATGGGCTACGATAGCTTCCTCCAACTTGGACTCTCCGCCTCTCCGCCTCTCCTGCTTAACAGTCTATTTGTCAGCCCTGCTAATTTGTAGGTCAAAGTTTATCAAAGTTGAAGAAAAAAAATTGTGACAAGATTTTGCCATTTCAAATGCTGGTGAGACCAGACCTTTAATACTGACCGTGCTTGTGGAAGTTTTCTGAGGTATTTTAATGAAGTGCCATTTACAACAATTAAGACAAGTGACTCACCAGTTGCAAGGACCTGCAATGGCAAAAACAGGCAAACAACAGAATTAGTCTTTCTGTCATGGGTGTAATTCAGGCTTATGTCAAATTATAATATATAAATTGGATCTATATTTATATCTTGCATATATAAAGTTCCAAATTAACATGGATATACATACAAAGCTTGATTTTGTCATTTCAATTTTTCATCAGTAAATAAAACAGTTCATATATAAAACTCTAAATTGTGTGAACTAACATAGAATATCAAATATAAAAACAAAATTAGTAGAAATTAAAACAAGAATCACTTGGTTGTAGTCCAAAAATATATCTTTATGATAAAATATACACATTAGAGTGAGAAACATCTTTACCTGATAGTAGATGTACACAGCTCCAATCAGGAACACAAACACCCTGGAACACATTGTTACTCTGGTGGAAAAAACAACAACAGATAAATTAGCAGTAACAACAGTAAAGAAATAAGGATACTAAAAATACATACACTCACATACACACTCAAACTTTCTAAACTGATGAAAAACAAATCAGGCTTACTATTTTACATATGCAAATGACAGCACCCTCTCTAGATAAAATTGGCAGCATTTAAAATTAACACTATTCCAGTGTATAAAAGCCTGTAGTCTTAATTATTAAATTAATTAAAAATTAATTAAACTTTTGTGACGCCCTTAAGCTCTGTTTTGACACCTGAGGAAATGTTTGGGCTCTTAATAAGTTAGTTGCTAATTTTGTCTTTCTGGTGTTACGTGCTCCAAGTTATGTACAGTGGGTTTATCAGAGCTTTTGTCACTGATGCTATCTCTACAGTGTTCTTGTCTTCTTATGTGTTGGGTGCTTGTGTCAGCCAGGGCAGTTTTATTAAGTTTATTTTCAGTTTATTACTGATAAGTCAGCCTCTTCAATTATATTATGTGTGAATACACTGGTGACTGTGATGGTTAGAAACGTCAATATGGCCTTTAAAAGACACAAATCAAATATAGCCTAAACAATCTAACTAGATAAGGTATGCAATACAAGCTCTCCCTGTCTGTTCAGTCAGTATTTCATTTAAAATAGTCTTCCTGTCATATAGTTATGTTTGACTTTGACCATTCTATATTTGACTATGAGTCTGACAGTGCTCCATTTACACTATTATAACATGTTTACTTGAAAGCTTTCATAACACTGTTATCAGCCTCTATCTGTTTTGCCTTCCAAAATACAGGAGGCTTGTATTATAACTTGTTTGCATCACTTTGAATTTGGTCTATGAATACAAACCGCGTATTGGTGGTTATTCCCTGCTTCTCGTAACAGTGCACCATCCCCCCCTGCCCACAATGCCCTCAATGACAGTATATTACTCCCAGTGTGGTCAAAGACCTCTTGATGTGGTACAATTCATTGTTACACTGAACCAACAGCCTCTTCAACTACCAGTACATGAAAAACATGCATGTTTTTTTGTTAATATGTAGATTTTTTATGGACACACATGTAGTTTTGCATCAAGAATATGCACTTGACTCACAATTGCACATGGACCATACACAAAAGCTAAACCTTTACAAACTTCACAAAACTTGAGTTCCAGGCTCAGAATGTATTTCTGGTATGAAAATCTGAAGCACATTCATAATTCACACAACACATTACCTCAATGTCTCAATAAAAATATATATACATATAGATAAATCTGCTTTCCATTATGTATGATTTTTCCAGGGAGAAAATCTATTTTCTCCCCCAACAACATTGTGTAGAACCCTTTGGCCAGTTAAAGTTAGATTGCACATTCTTACTCTGATTCTTTACAGCCAGTCACTTATTCATGTAAGGAAAGAAATCTCCATCCAATCACTTTAATGATATCCCAGAATAGTGCATTAGCTCTCTGTTAATTGACCCTTGGAAGAGTACAGGTGCTGTTGACAATATACTGACTGGACTGTTCCTTTTGTACGAAACGAACATTGATGAACATTTTTACACTGAATGGTACAGCATTTAATTTTGACTTTGAAAGGCTAAGGGTTTGTATTGCAAAAGCAAGTAGAGCTTTTCTAAGTTTAGAATTTAGAGCATATATGACTTTGGGGAGGAAGTTAGGTGGTGGTTGTTAGAATTTAGCATATTTTAAGATGCTATTTACACCAATACCTTAGTATTAGGGATACTACTCTTTATAGTACGGTCAAGAGCTACGTAGTAAGATCCAGCCTCTGTTACAATCTCATATCTCTCATTAAAATAAATGAATAAAAATGTCTTACCTTGGTTTTACAGCATCATATAAAAGCAGGTAGTTTTAACCTGTCAGCCTTGCTGCAATTACCAAACAGAAATCTGACAGTACTCCATAGCTATCAGGCACACGCACCCGAATTAGAGAAAAGTGAGCACATCTGTTAGAAAGACTGGGTTAGACTGGACAGGGTGTGTGTGTGGAAATTGTTTTGGGGGGCGGGGGGTGTTACGGGATGAACTGATGCCCTGACTTGGCGTTGAATAAACATTTGCATGTCTCCATGCCAGCTGGACTGGTTGTCATACACACATAGCCTTCCAGATTTCCATGGATATTTGTCTAACAAATCAAGCATTCTCCTTCAGAGGGTCACAGAGCAGCAGCTTGTCTCATGAAACCAGTTCACTTTTTCTTTTGTAACTTTGTGAAAGTATTTTAAATTGGGGTTTTGCTACTTTTCCACAAACGTACTACAAAGAGTTAACTGATTATGAAATTTATGACAGATGCCTCTATATGATCTATATAGTAATTCTTAATGTCTGCCACTGGGTCTGATTCCTCTTGAAATCAGGAAAAGAAGCAGTGGAAACACTGCTTTTGTCCACCAGAATCAACACAAAATGAAAGTTCCTTTTAGCTGCTTTAAGTAAAAGATCTGAACACATAGATATAAACAAAGTACTGACCCCTGTGGACTTGTTGGGCAAAAGTACAGTAATACTTGAGGGAAATTAGACTGAGCACACAACTAGAATATGAACTAGAGCATCAGAAACTTGGCAAGAGTAAAACAATTATACTAGAATATATATATATATATATCTCACCATAAAAAAAGTTTTGTTTTTTGGACAAAAAGATTTAGGGAAACAAACCCAACCAGAGGGAAAACAAACAAACAAACAAACAAACAAAAATCTCCTACTAACTCCTGCACTTTGCATTTTCTTATGGCTTCTTGCTCATTTAAATGTCTCAACCTAAGTCACGCAACTCACCAGGTCAATGTCAGGCAGAGAGAAGTGTCTGGAGAGCAGTTAAATTGACTGCAAATGCTTTAACTCTGGAACAGGCAAGAGCAAACAAAACAATCATCAACCGTTTCTTGTTTACTTTTCATATGACCCATTCTTTGCTGTAGGTTAGCAAACTAAAATATGTCAGGTATTTGCATGGCAGCAAAAATGATGTAATGATCCTTGTAGACTTTGAGCTCTGCTACAAGCAGCTGTGTCTGTTGGTAGGCCTGTACTTTTCTTGTTTCTTTTCACTCAAATAAAACAGTAATGGCAATTTTAACAAGGCAGTTCTTCAGAAAATATTTGTCCTCTTCATCACTTAGACCATTTTTAATTTCTAATCAAATCCAAACTGACAATCAATCAATCAATTTTGAAGCACAGAATCACCATGCAGCATGGTCCCAATTTACAATAATAAAAACAAACAAACATAGGAAACATTATTACATTATATTGAAAACATGTTTAAATCAAGGTCAAAGGAATGTTTCAGTATAATAAGTAATACAAATTTAAATATATCAACCACATTATTGTTGGTGACTTTAACAGCAGCACTTATGGAAATTGTATTGATTCATACATCTCCTGTACTCACCCTCCACTCAGCTTCTCCTATGACAATGTTATCTTCTGACTTCTCCATTACAGACAATTATATTACATTTCCTTCCCCGCATCGGTGCTATGTTCCATGTTACAGTGCCTTAGTAAGCAAAGCATTCAGGAATTTTCTTCTACCACTCCATATGGAGTCTGGATCTGAAAACTCTCCATTTGTAGCTACCCCTTGATCCACAAAAGAAACAGGACACCTTACACTACAAGGCCACGTGCAAAACGGAGTGGTAGGGCCAAGGCGGGGAATTGTGATTATTACAGACTACATCAAGTTCCACCTACCATTTAAGACCTTTAAGAAATATCCAAACATGAAACCCTGGATCCCCCACTATATTAATCACATCGAGGCAAAACTCAAATCAAAGAGAAGACTTGAACACTTGAGACTTCAAAAAGAGAGAGCACTCACTGTATGTGACTCAAAACCCAAATTATCTGCAATAACTGACCCCATCGCTAATCCCAAGAGTTGCCAAAAGGGGGACTGGGGGCGCTGTGGCATGCCTACTCTCCTACAACACAGATTTATTCTGTAGCTGAATGTAACAAAGACTAAAGAACTGTAAATGGACACTTTCAGCACTCAAAGCACAGCCCACAACTACTCCTACAACATCCCCTGTATCAATAATAAAACAGTTGAGATAGAGGAGTGCTTCAAATATCTTGGACTCGCCCTGAACAATGAACACCTTCTTTGGTTCCTTAATACTACTAATCTTTACTAAAGTGTAAAAAAGACAAATTGTGGTGGAAGTAAGACAACTTCTGTTTAAGAGTCTGTTATTCCAAGTACTTCTACAGTTGCATTTATGGTATTTTGAGAAAAGTCAACAAACAATATCTTTAAGTAGGTGTATATCTGGAGACATGGAGACCCAGACTGAGTGTAACATTACAGTAGCTCGTCATATGGTTCATCTCAGTTAACACTGGCAGCTGGATATCATGTTCTGCATTGTTGACCCACCAGCACAGTTATGAAGGAATAAAATATCAGGCTATGCAAATCACTCCCATGTCCAGAGACAAACAATACAAACATAACCACAGGCTGAATAGGATGACTATAGTCAGTGTGTAGTTACTGGCCCTGTCAGCTAAACAGTAATTGGTTTTAGAGAGTAGAAAGATAATTGATAATATTATGAATATTTACTATATAGAGCTGTTGCTGTTTAAGCTCCTACCCATTTTGACCAACAAGTAGAATATGTGTAATATTAATGCACTGTAAAATCTGACAGCACATCGTAATAAAAAAAAGTAAGTTACATAACATAAATGAATCCTCCAAAATTGTTTGTCACTCTTTTACATGAATTAAACCTAACTCAAAAATGAATTGTTGATGCAACCCAGTTCTTCTAAATGCACTGAAATGTAAGTAGTTTAATTTTTGGTGATATAATTAGTTAATTAAATAGTTTGTTCTACTGACTTGAAGTAGACTTTATATCATCACAAAAATGTAAAAATGTAATGCTCTATATCTTAGGATTTTTCAATTTAGGTTTGCTCAATTTATCAATCATCATATGCCCAAATAATCCCAATTTTTTTTTATTGATCTCCCAAAGTATAAAGATTTGATGTTAGTCACATGAAACCCCCACAGAAAATTAATTGGCAACCATTTATATTATAAATTGTTTAGATTTTATTTTTATTTTTGTATTTTTACAATTTCTCCACATGTGCTATTAATAACTAACAGTCTGATATTTAGTGTAGCCTGTGGTGGCCTGGGTGGAGTGACTATGATATGAGTGTGCTGGTCAATTGTGGAAGACATGTTTTACATAAGTGTACTCAATGCCAATGATCGTCTTTGCTACTTTCACTGTGCTGCTTTGTTTTCAGTCCCAAGCAATAAAACTACAGGCTAAATGAGTCAGATGGACAAAAGAGATTCACAGGGTATCTGCACATTTTTTAAATACATTTTTTATTTATTTAGACCGAACAAATGAATGCATGTAAGGGCTGGACAATGTTTTATGTAATTCACAATATTTATATAGATATCTTTAAATATTTAAAAAACTTTCAAACATAAAATGATCAAAATATATGAATCAAAATGTTTAATGCAATGCACAGTGAATGAGTTTATACAGAGCTTGCTCAAAATCCTTAAATTGTACAACGAAATTTGTAAAATTATACAATATTAGTTTAAAAAGTGTAAGTCAAGAGTGAGACTTAAAAACAAGGTCAATAAAAAAGTTCTATGCCAAGACAAGACAAGCAGAACACACAGTACCTTTAAATCCTAACTTCTGGCTGTACACTGGTTATACATATGACAGAGGATACTAGACATCACACACCGCTCTCTCTCACATACACACATCTGTAACTGCACAGGTGATCCCTCACTCTGTCTCTCTTTCTCTGACCATCAGTTCTCCTCATCTCTTTCTTTAAAAACATATTAAACATCACTTATTAAAACCAAAGAACAACTGATTTTATATTTCTAAAATATCAACAGGGGCTAAACATTAAAAACATTATATTTTCTCTTCTTTTTTTTCTCCTCTCTAGCTCCATTACATGTTTGGAATTCTATTTGACTGATGGTTCTGGCCAAGTCAATTTGTCATTGTGATGCCACTCCTTGAGTAAACAAGTTCACTGATCTGTGTAAGCCTAGCCTTGGCTTACTGATTTGATTGGCAAAGCAAAGCAAAACCAAGAGCCATTTTGCATCTACTTTACTACTGTGGACATTTGTTTTCTGAAAATTATGTGATGAATACAAATTAAATGTCCAAACTACACTTTTTTTGGGTGTTATTTGAGGAAAAGCCTAAGTGGAATCTCTAAATATACATTTAACAAACATTATGTAATACTAATAAATATTTTTGCTGGTGTATTTTACATAATGTTGTTGTGAGCAGGGTTTGGACAAAATCCAACTTTCAACATATGATTGTATTAATACACTCTTTGTTTTCCCAAATATCAAGCCTGACTATTCATTATTGTTATGTTAGCATCTGGTTTGCTTGGTTGGTTGTTTTTCCAACTGCCCAGAGCTGTCTGCAGACCATCATGTGTCGGTGAATGAGCGAGATGCTCCAGAGGCACTGGATGAGATATTGTAACCATCTGAAAAAACAGCAGCAAAACAAAGCTATTCAGTCTGTGGTGAAACAATATGACAACTGACAACTTTGGCATGTCAGCATGCTCAAAATGATAATGTCTATGCAGCATTCACGCAATGGCGGCAGAATGGGAAGAACAAGCTCTTGGTATTATTGGGGGCGTTCACACATCATTCCAAAATAGGAATTACTGCTACCTTTGTAACACCCAAAATCCACCAGGGCTGATTGCACTTTTTCAAGACAATGCTTGATTCCACCAAAGTGCCATGGCACGTCCCTGAAGCATCTCTTCGAGAATATGCCGCTGGTCTTTTTTTAACAGAATCCACAACCCACTTTTTAAACTTTTTTAAAGAATAAAATACCTTTTGCAGACTCTGGATTGAATTTCTTGCTACATCAACATTGTGGCACCAGGCCAGTACTCAGTCAGGGAGAGGCCAGTTAAGGGATATTTGACACCACGGCTGACAAGAAGTTTATATTGGAAGTGGAGAAACACACTGTTTTGCATCATGGAACCAAACAGAGTCGCAGATGCAGCATCATAAAGCCATGCCTAAAATTAGGTTATTTTGCTTTCTGTAGCTGTTTGTAAACAAATGAAACCAGAAACAAAAAAATTAACTAATTAAATTAGTGGTAACTAGGGATGATAATGATTCTTCAGCAATAGATTTATCAGTTGTTGAGCGTTTGATCAAACAATTTAATCAATCTACTATCAAATAGGGATCTTAAATATAAATAATGTGTAGTGGGAGATATTGGAGTCATTAGCAATTCCCAATATTAGGGATACAGAGTTACAGCTCTGATGTGAATAGTTTTCGCCATTTGAATGCTATTTATCACAGTGTGAACAATTTAATGTGAACAATGGCTCCAGCCATTAATGTTTAGCACAGTCATTATCTCGGTTGAGTTTAGTGTGCACACTAACATTTGCTATTTTGCGCTAACCATACAATGCATTAGTCTTAACTTTTGCAGATTTCTAATTAAAGTATTTGTGAAATTTTGCCCAGATGGTATTGCATGACATTGTGTGGTTTTCTGTTGTTTTTTTTCTCTTCTTAATTGTTAACATACCTCTTCCTCTTCTCCAGTTCCGGAAAAAGCCCAATCCACTTGATGATGACGTTGCAGCACTGGTGGTCTAAAACAAGAATAAAAGTAAACACATGAATCACCATAATATTTGAACCTGCTGACAAAAAAATGACATGATTAAGAAAACTGTCCTTACCCTTGTTCCACTGGAAGTCTGTGTCTTTATTGTTATTTCTGACCGCACCTGAAAGTAAATTCTCGAAAATGATCACGCTGCTATAAAACTTAAGCAAGTGTGTTTCTGTAAAATTATGTTGTTAAAGGGTCAACATGTAGTACAAAGAGGTGCAGTGTGTTACCAGTGTTCTGCATTTCAAAGTAATCACTACTAACAATTTACTTTCACTACAGTAACTCACTGATGGATGGCTAGTGACAACAGCTAATATGATACCAGCAAAATGGTATTACTGCATACTGTTTTAATTTTCCATTAGATTACTTCTAATGTGATAAAACCAATCCATCAATCAACTAATAATTCTAAATTATTAGAAATAGTGGATTTCCCCTTTATTCAATTAAGCATCGTCCCAACAAGCAGTTGATTTGAATAGTAAATCATACTTACCTTTTTGTCCAGCAGCGTCCCAAACACCAATATGAAGAAACCCTTTAAACAAAGACACAGAGTAGCATTATGTAAGAGGGCTTCAGTGATAAAAGGCAAACTAACCATTCATAATAGTGATCCATAGATTAATTTCAGGTACCAAAGTATAGAGTAATATATAGATCAGTATTATTAACAGTGAATTTGTACCTGCAGTGAATTGAAGAACGCGAATGAAATATGGATTCCTCTATTGTATGGATCTGTCATGGTTCCAACTCCCAGACCCCAAGTTATTCCAAAAAATGGTGTGAGGACAGCCAAACTCCGAGCAATAACCACAAGAACGTGCCT